AAGACCCTGCTGCCCTGGCTGGTTTGGCTCAGTGGATAGAGCATTGGCCTGGGGACTAAAGGGTTTCAGGTTCGATTCCAGTCAAGGTCACATGCCTGGGTTGCAGGCTTGGTCCCCAGTAGGGGGTGTGCAGGAGGAAGTCAATCCATGATTCTCATCATTGATGTTTCAATCTCTTTCTCCCTCTTCCTTCTTCTCTGAAATCAATAAAAACACATTTTTTTTTAAAGAGCAAAAACCCTAAGATAAACAATATATGGCATATTTGGATGATAGCAAGGAAGCCAGTATGGCTGAGACCCAGAGAGTGAAAGGCAGAGATTTGGAGTTGAGGTAATAGGTAATGGAGAGACATCACAGTGACCTTGGAGGCTAGTGGAAGCCTTCGGATTTTACCCTGAGCAAAGTGAGAAGCCATTATTAGCATGTTTGAGCAGAGCAGAGAAATGATCTGACTTGGATTTTAATAGAATCACTCTGGCCGGTGTGTGGAGAAAGGCCTGAAGAGGAGCAAGAGTGGACACTACTAGTCTAGACGTTGCTGTAAAGGTATTATTTTAAATGTGGATAACATTCTAAATCTGTAGACTTTAAGTGATTAATGTGGGAAGGCTTCATCCAATAAACTGAAGGTCTTAAGAGTAAAGACTGAGGTTTCCTAAAGAAGGAATTATCCTGAAGACTGCAACACAGAACCCCCGCCGGAGGTTCCTGCCTGCTGGCTTCTCCTGCAGTTTCAGACTCAAAACTGCAACATCAACTCTTACCTAAGTAGTGACCTGCCAACCTGCCCCACAGATTTCAGATTTGCCTACAATTGAATAAGCTAATTCCTTAAAAAAATAAATCTAGATAGATAGATCAAATGATCAATTGATAGAATAGAATAGAATAGAATAGAATAGAATAGAATAGAATAGAATAGAATAGAATAGAATAATTTATCTCTTTCCCCTATTGGTTCTGTTTCTTAGGAGAATTCTGACTAATTAAAGGCTGTTGCAATAATCCATTAGAACAATGGTCAATAATGATGGCTTGAACTTAATAGCAGTGGAGATGGTGAGATATGGGTAGAATCTAGAAATATTGTGAAGGTAGAGGTACTGAATTTGCCTATGAATTAAATTTGGCAAGTGAAAGATACAGAAACGTCAAGAATGATGGCCATATTTTTTACCTGAGCAACTGGGTGAAGAAACTGAGTAGCTAGAATAATAAGTCCACAGCAGAGAGAAGTCAGGCGAGGGAGTGGACAGGGCACCTACTGATGGCATTCAAGTCCTGAGACTGGATAAGATCACCAGTCCTGGTGACTGCAGACAAAAGGAAGTGACCTGAGGACTGAGCTCTGGAGCCCTTGGGACATTCTAAGGTCTGGAGATCAAAAAGAGAAAGAAAAGCCAACCAAGAAAACTGAGAAGATGGGCCAGTGAAATTGGCAGAAAACTGGCGAGTAGGCATCTCAGACACTGAATGCAGAGTGCTTTATTCCAGTGGTCAGCTGTGACCATCGCTCCTGGGAAAACGGTCAGTTGGCCTCAGGGAGAGTCACAGGCTCTGGGGCACCATGGTGGCAGGCATGTAACAGGAAGTCCAATGTAGAGAAAGAAGCCACCCAAACACACACACACAGGCCAACTGTCACTCACTCTCATTGAGGCATCTACACAGAAACCAGAGTCAGAGTCACTTCCCACGTCCCTAAAGAAGGAAGTATCCTGAGAAATGCCAATTTACAGTGGCTCGATGGGTGTAGCAGCATGGGTTTGCGTCTATGATTTTGATGGATGGAAGGTCATTCATGAAGTGATTAGGAGGATATGGATTGATATGTGAATTTGAGTCATGTCAGGTAGATAAGAAAGTCACAGCTGCTCCCAGGGGAAGTGTGACACATGATGGGCCCAGCTGGAGGGGCTGGAAGGTGGAGGAGGGACAGAGGCTTCCAAACCTTACAATGTGTTCCTTGCCCCTTGGTGTGGGGCCAAGGGGGTTGAGCTTGCTCTGGTGGAAAGAGCAAGGATTGGGAGTCAAGCATCCTCATGACAAACTCAAAAGCTAGAGCATATCATCTTTTTACAGATGATGAGATCACAGAGGTGATACATTTGCCCAAGGTCACACAGGTGGCCAAATCCAGCTCTGGACAGATGGCACATCATGGTGTTTAGGCTGCGCAGGACTCAGACCAGAACTGTTCCAGCTGTGGGGTCAGAGATGCAGTTTGTCAGGGAAGACTCCATGGAGAACGAGAGGTAGGAAAACCACCCCTCGCTGCATGGCTTCCACAGGCCAGGCACATGCTAGTCACCGGTCATGCCGCTGGGATGGGGTTTTCCCATTTGTCTGCACAACAGCCAGCCACTATGAGACTGCTCATTATTTCTTCTACTTATTGATGAAGAAAGAAACAGAAGCTCAGCCCTAACCATTTTGGCTCAGTGGATAGAGCATCAGCCTGCAGACTGAAGGGTCCTGGGTTCAAATTCGGTCAAGGGCATGTACCTTGGTTTCTTGCACATCCCAGTAGGAGGTGTGCAGGAGGCAGCTGATTGATGTTTCTCTATCATCAATGTTTCAATCTCTCTATCCTTCTCTCTTCCTCTCTTCAAAAAGTCAATAAAATAGATTTAAAAGAAACAGAGGCTCAGAGAAGCTAAATAATGTATCTAAGTTCACACAGCTGATAAGTCACTTAAACCCAGATCTTCTTCCCTCCAAGGCTTAAGTCTCTTTTTCTTTTTTAAAAATATATATCTTCATTTATTTCAGAGTGGAAGGGAGAGGGAGAGAGAGTTAGAAACAACAATGATGAGAGAGAATCATTGATCGGCTCCCTAACCCTAGCCCTAGCCCTCCTTCACGCTTCACACTGGGGACCAAGCCCAAAATGGGGCATGTGCCCTGACAGGGAATCAAACTGTGAACTCCTGCTTCATAGGTCGATGCTCAACCACTGAGCCACATCAGCCTTTTTCCTATTACACCATAAGCTGAGCAGAGGCAAGAATTGCATGTATAAAACCTGTTCATCCGTCTTACTCTCAGAGTGACTGTTAAAATACTAATACACACAGAGCCACTTTAAAATGGAGCCAAGCTGCCATCCAGAGGAGCTGCTGGCCATGCCTCAGGCCTCAAACCTTGGGAATGTTCAAACAGGGCAAACTAGCCTATGGGCTGGGCCTGAAGCAGCTTTGTGCCCCAAAGAACAGTTTGCAAGGATAACCAGAAGGCAGAAATTATGACTGCCAGACCAATGGCTATCAAACCGAAAATTAAAAACATTGTTTAGAACTCACATCACTATCTCATGTAACCTGCACTGATAGATATGCCTTCCTCCTATTGATATAATCATTACCCTCCTTTTCTCTTCACACTCCTTGCCTTTGTCTCCTAATCAGAACATGAACTGGGCTTCGGCCTGAACCAATGCTTCCCAAATAACTATGTTTCTCTCTCAAATAAATGCTTGTTGCCTTTCACTTTGAAAGAGCTTTTATGTTTAGGTTAGCATGATATTAAATACCGTGCTTGACCTCAGTGGGCCTTGGGTCACTCATCTGTGAAATGCAGACAACCATAACACCCATTCTCTAGGACCTAACAAAATCATGCCCATAAAATAGCACTGCGCCTCACACACAGTGAGAAGTGAGAGCTGTTGATCATCGGTGACTATTTTCAGTCCACTGATGAGAAAGCATGGAAGAGTCCATTACATCCTTCCGCGTCCAAAGAGTAAAGGCAGAAGTCTGGATGCAAAACAAGACATAGGACATACCAAGCGAACTCTGCTTTCCCCATTTCACCCCAAGATAAGACGGGAAATGAGTTGCAGGCAGGCGGAATGCATCAGTGAAAGCATGCGATGAGATGAGGCCTGTGCGGTAGAGGTGGTCTGAGGGAGCGTGATGAGATGCTAGGCACAGGTTGGAGAGAGGGCCTTCCCTGGTATGCATGGGTGCCTACCACATACTAGGCTCGGTGCCCAGCAGAACTGAGACCTGGCAGGAGCGCCGTTTACAGCTGCCTGAGCAGGCAGAGGTGATAACGCCTGTGGACTTCACTCTCTTGTCCCTGGCCCAACCTTCAAACATGGAGGCGTGGGTTGTGCATTGCCTAGAAAGCAACTTTGAGCTTAAGGGCCTTCCTGTGGTATGTACCACCCAGAAGAGGGCGAGCTCAAGTGGGCACCATCGTTCACAGCAATTTCATGCGGTGGGTTCCATCACTCCACCCATTGGATGGAAGAGGAAACTAAGGCTCCGTCAAAGCTGATGTGACTTGTCCAAGATCGCACTGCTGCAGGCTTTGAACCCCAGGCAATCTGTCTCCAAGCCTGGGCTCTGGCTGGGGGAGGTTACTGGCTTCTGAAAGGCACAGACGGGTGAGATGAGTCCATCACAGCCTGAGGACATCCAGGCCCTGGTGAGAGATGCAGGCAGCGGCAGGCTGAGGGCCTGCACTCAGGCTGATCAGAAGAAGGATGGTCCTTCAATAGAGCTGGGAAGAGGGGGTGGAAGAAATGTAGGTCTAGGGACACACAAAAAATTCTGTATCTGCCCACCTTCCCTGAGCCAGCAGATCTTATGCCCAGAGAAGCACGGGCTGGCCTGAGTCAAAGATAGTGAGTCCTCACTTGGCCATTGACTAGTGCTGTGACCTGGGGCAAGTCACTTCAACTCTGGAGTGACTTTCTCTCTTTGTAAAATGGTCTCCCTATCATGTCACTCCTTAGGTAGCATGGGGAGGAGCTGAGAAAAGTGGTGTGGCCCGAGGCCCGCCCACAGAGCCTGCACACATGCCCTGGCCCCTTGCTTTCGCTCCCTTTCTAAGAATGGACTCTAGGCTTGTCACAAAGTTGGCAGGTGTCTACCCCACCCGGCTGCCCAGTTAATGAGTGACCAGAGTGCATGGCTTATAAAAGCTGCTAGCCGGAGAGGCAGGCAGCAGCTGGGTGGATGGCTGAGGCGGGGTGCCGAGGGAGCAAGATGGGCGGCAGGACTCTGTCAAAGCTTCTGACTGGGGTGGCTCTGGTCCTCCTGGTGCTCCTGCAGAGCACACAGTCAGTCTACATCCAGGTGAGTCCTCCCAGCCAGAATGGCCTTTAACTCAAGGCTCCCGTGGCGGGAGGTTGGGATGGGGAGAGGGTGATGGGAATTCATGGGATACGGGGGGGCGGGGGGGATAGGGCCTAGAATTCAGCTCAACACACATTCACGGCCCAGGGACTAGCACAGCTGGGGATGCGGGCAGCCAGTACACCTATGGCTATGGTGATAGTGACAATGGCAGTAATACTAAATGGCTGTTATTCAGGATGAGCTGACATTGCAGGATGAGCAGGAGGTAGCAAGGCATGGAGGACGCCAATTCCCCAGTCAGAGGGCACTGCATGGGGAGCAGTCCGCAGGGGGCCCAGGTCTCCTTTCATAGGTCTGTAGCGCTTGGTGGCTCCCACTCCCGCTGAGCGGGGCCTCCAGGAGAAGAACAAAGGGTCCTTTGGAGGGTACCGGAGCGTCTCCACCTCCCCCGGCCGCCTGGCCAGCTTGGGGTTGCCATCATTATGGCCTGTCGGTCCAGGGGAGGTCACCCAGTTACGGAGTGTGCCCTGGGTACCAGGCACCAGGGAGGAGGAGACATGGTTACCTCCATTTGTCAGGTGAGGCGCAGAGTGGGGAAGAGGCAGGCACCTGGTTGGGAAGAGGAGGGATTTGAACTGGGGGCCACTGGCCCCCAAAGCCCATGTCTTAAACCACAGTGCTCCACACACAGCCTTGCTGTGGCCTCACCTGGCAGTGACTGGGGGCCCGCGGCTGTGGTGTGAAGTGTCAGACACCATCTCGGACTTTCCCTGAGAACAGGAAAGGCTGGGGGTCTGGGGAGTCCTGGTCTCAGTCTAGGTTTTTGTTGTTGTTGTTTGTTTGTTTTTGTTTGTTTTTGTTTTTAATATATTTTATTGAGTTTTTACAAAGAGGGAGAAGGATAGAAAGCTAGAAACATCGATGAGAGAGAATCATCAATCAGCTGCCTCCTGCACACCCCCCAAGGAGGATGTGCCTGCAACCAAGGTACATGCCCTTGATCGGAATTGAACCCGGGACCCTTCAGTCCGAAGACCGACGCTCTATCCACTGAGCCACACCGGTTTTGGCTCAGTCTAGGTTTTGATGCCTTCCCATTTCTCCCCGCCTCCCCAGTACCAGGGCTTCCAGGTCCAGCTGGACTCCGTGAAGAAACTGAGAGACCTCGAGAGGCAGTGGGTGCTCAGCCCCCGCCTGCAGGCCCAGAGCCTCCTGCCCACCCCGTGCTACCACCCGGCCCTGCCACCGGACCTCCAGCCCATCTGCACCTCCAGGGAGGCCGCCAGCATCTTCAAGGCCTTGAGTAAGTGTCCCTGCCCCTGGGAGCTCCCTGCCCTTGTCCCCTTCCTCCCCGCACCCCAGGCCAGGTTCAGTTCCTCCACCTCAAGTACCCAGCGGCTGGGGACAGGGCGATCCAAGATACACAACACCCTTTCCCCAGTTTGGGCACCAAAAGCCGGGCAGCTCCCAACAACCGGAACCAACTGGTCATCCTCCATCAAAGACCTCCCAGATGGGAGGGAAGGGCCCTGGGAAAGGGAGCCATGAGCACTGACTGTGATGCAGTGACGATGGGGAGCACAGCGGGACACGAGGAGGGGTGACTCACGTCTGGGGTGGCATAATGAGTCTGAAAGGCTTCCAAGAGTAAGGTGACCAGATGTCCCGCTTTTGGCGGGACAGTCCCGATTTTTAAATAATTTGTCCCGCGTCCCGTGGCATTTTAAAAAAAGTCCCGATTTTTGGAAAGAATCGGGACTTTTTAAAAACACTGCAGGATGCGGGACAAATTATTAAAAATCAGGACTGTCCCGCCAAAAGCGGGACACCTGGTCACCTTATCCAAGAGGTGACTTTGAGCCAAAACTGATTTGGCTCAGTGGTAGAGCGTCAGTCTGCGGACTGAAGGGTCCCAGGTTTGATTCCGGTCAAGGGCATGTACATTGGTTGCAGGCACATCCCTGGTGGAGGGTGTGCAAGAGGCAGCTGGTGGATGTTTCTCTCTCATGGACATTTCTAGCTCTCTATCTCTCTCCCTTCCTCTCTGTAAAAAAAAAAAAAAAAAAAAAAAAAAATATATATATATATATATATATATATATATATATATATATTTTTTTTTTTTTTTTTTTTTTTTTTAAAGAGAGGTGACTTCAAGGCTGAAAGGGAAGAGATGAAGCAGAGCTGGCCAGGAGCAGGTAGTGACTAGCTAGCATTGAGTGCCAGGTCCTTGTCAGCCCTGTGCCTGCATTCTCTCCTCACAACCACGCTGTCCAACAGGCTGTGACTGTCCCTTCAGGAGACGGGAAATGCAGGCAGAGTTTAAGTGACTTGCCCAGGCTCTGTGAGGAAGGAGAGGGCCTGGGACTTAAGCCCCAGATGTTCACTCCGTTTCTAAAATGTCACGCTCTTCATCTGCGAGAAAAGATGCAGGCCCTCTAGGCAGGCTTCTCTGGCCGCCTGGCCAGCAGCTCCCTGGACCACAGGTGTTTCAGGTTCATGTTCAGCTGACCAGTTCTCTCCCCCTGCCCAGAGACCATCGCCAACACCAACTGTGAGCTGTGCGTGAACGTTGCCTGTACCGGCTGCCTCTGAGATGGCCCTGGATATCCGGCGCCAGCCCTGGACACCTTGTCTCCCCCCACCAACCACTGCCTTTGCAGCCACCCTCCCCCCCCCCCCCCCCCCCCGCCAAGCTCTGGCGGTGCCCTGGCCACCTCAGTCATTGCCACCCTCCCAGGACCAAATCCGCTGGATCTGGCACAGAGCAGCGTGACTCGCAGTTGGAGGAGAGTTTGGCCCCTTAGAAAGCCCTGCTGCTGAATAAAGATGCTCCACCCACACGTGAATCAGAGTCCGTCTGTCCATCCCCGGAGCCAGGGGAGGAGCTTCTTGGGAGTTGGGTGGGCTGAGGACACAGTGTGGGCCAGAGTTAGGAATCCCCAGGTTTCCAGCACCCAAGGAGCCTGTTCATTAAGTCCTGTTTGGTACAGAAGGGAGTGAGCTCAGGGCGGGAAACAAGGCGCCCATGCTCCACAGAGCACCCAGACCCACGTACCCCAAGCTGAGCTCAAGGCCTGGCCTCGCTGAGCTCCTGATGAGCTGGGGAGAGCTCCCTTGCTTAACTAGGACGGGGGTGGGTGGAGGAAGGATCACGTGGTGTCCCCTCCAGGCCCATCGCCAAGCTGACTGACCACTTGTTCCCGGTGCCTGAGAAGATGGGCCCTTGGCTTTCACCCTCGGTGTCCCCCGCCCCAGATGGGAGGTATTTCCTCCCTGGGCCCTGGAGAATATTAATAACAATAGCCTTTGTTTATTGCGCGTTTGTATAGCCTAGGCCAGTGGTGGGCAAACTGCGGCTCTTCCACAAAATACCACGGCCTGGGCGAATCTATTTGGAAGAAGTGGCGTTAGAAGAAGTTTACGTTTAAAAAATGTGGCTCTCAAAAGTAATTTCAATCACTGTCCTGTTGATATTTGGCTCTGTTGACTCATGAGTTTGCCGACCACTGGCCTAGGCACCAGTCTAAACCCTTGGCACGTGTTAACTCACTAAGCCTCACAGCAGCCTAAGGAAGCAGGGACTGTTCTGATTGGCATCTCCACTTCACGAGGAAGTACACCGGGTTCTGAGAGGACCAGTCCTGGCACAGCAAAGCGGTAAAGCAGAATTCTTCCCGCAAAGTCTGGGCGGGAAGCCGTGCTCTGAAATGCCATGCTGCGCCTCCCCGTGACACCGGCCCCGGCTCCTGGCCCCCGCCCCCGGCCCCTGGCCTTCAGCCCCCGGCCCCCCCGCTCCCCGCCTCCACATCTTCCCTCGCAGTGGCCTCTGGTGCCATAACTCAAGGCCAGAGCTGAGCTGGGAATTCCCCGGAGCAGAGCCTTTCCACAGCATGGGGTCCTCCCCAGCTTCTGCCTGGGGCAGTGAGAGAGGAGGAAAGTTGGGTACAAAGGAGCTGGGGCCTCTGAACTCAGTCCCCCCAGCCCGGCTCTGGGCCAAAGCAGCATGAATCCCTCCAGAATTCCACCCCTCCTGACCATCCAGTTCTGCTACAGAGTCCCCTGTCTCCCAGCCCGCCAGGCCGGAAAAAATCCCCGAAGCTCCAGCCCCTTTCCCTTCCTCCCCCACAGGCCAGACTGGCGGGGGCCCTTGCAATGCCTCCTGCATCTGTGAGAAGAAACAAGTCATCTTTTCTGTCAAAGAACAGTTTAGATGACCACCATTTTGGACCGCGTGACTTGGCAGCCGCCATGTTGGCTGCATGGCTTGCAGCTCTTTGAATTAGCCAATAGCGAAAGACTGTGCACCTGAGCTCCAATCAAGAGCAAAGGACAGCCAGAACCGGTTTGGCTCAGTGGATGGAGCATCGGCCTGTGGACTGGAAGGTCCCAGGTTTGATTCCGGTCAAGGGCATGTACTTTTGTGGCAGGCACATACCCGGTGGGGGCTGTGCAGGAGGCAGCTGGTCGATGTTTCTTTCTCATCAATGTTTCTAGCTCTCTGCCTCTCTCCCTTCCTCTCTGTAAAAAAATCAATAAAATATATATATTTTTTAAAAGAACAAAGGACAGGTCACGTGCCTCAGGGATTATAAGGCACGCCTTCCAGACCATGTGTGTGCACCCTTCTACGTAGAAGTTAATATGTTTGTCTGGCTGCCTGGCTCCTGAGTGTTTTGTATTCTACCAGAACCCCTGACTTGGGGGGCTCACCTTATTTCTAGCATGTCCTTCTGGGCCGCTCTCATCTCTACCTTCACTCGAGGTGGGCGCTTAGCGCACTCCCCCAGACCAGGACAGAGCTTCCTCCCTGCCCTTTCTATCCCCACCCCTTACCCTCCCTGCGTTCCCTGGCACCTCTCAAGTCTCAGCCAAGCTCATCAGCCACGTGGCCTCCTCTCCGCCAGTCCCTCCAGCTGTTCTGGGTTCCCACCTGCCTGGGGAGGAGGCAGTGAAGGAACTGCCACTGACCAAGCGTCTTTCCTGTGCCAGGCACAAGGCTGAGCCACCCACACAGAAAGAAGAGCAACAATGACAGCATCAACGAAGTGCTCACCATGGGCCCCGCGGGGGGAACTTTAACAGCTTTCCCTGCATCACCTCATTTACTCTTCACTCACCCACGTTTTATTTAGGGGTAAAAAGAAAGGCTTTCACACAACTCACTCCTGAAAGCTCTAAAAGTGGAGTCTCTCCTCACTCCTCCCCCCCCCCCCCCCCCCCGCCTTGCCATCCCCCGTTTACAGGTGAAGAACCTGAGGAAACAGCCTAAGGGGCCTGCCCACAGTCTGGCAGCTGGGAACAGGTGGAGCCAGGACTCACACACGGAGAGCGGAGAGCGGGCTCCAGGGCAGGGGCATTACGTGCTCCTACGCCTCCACAGGGCTCACCCGATGCCCCTGCCTCCTGGGAGGCAGGGTCTGCCATCCCCACTTGTGGCTGAGGAAGCCGAGTCTCAGAGCGGGGAGCACGGCTTGTGAATGACACGCTCAGGCTCCAGCTCAGCCCGTGTGCCCCCCGGGCCGCCCTGTCCACCTGACTGCAGAGAGAGAGTTCGCCCACCAGCGCCAGCAGAACCAAACTCTGAACACCAACAACCGCAGGGGATAAACATGGGCTATTTTATGGTGAATGTGCCGCCCCGGAGAATGGGAAGCTAATGCTCAGAAGCCCAAACTCCCCGGGACGGGTAGGTTACAGATGATAGAGGGCAAATCGCAAGACACGCTGGGTTCCGGGTTCAGGGCTGTGCAGACACACCCCGAGGAGCACTCCGGCATCCTTCTGCCCAGTTTTATGGAAAAGCAGCCAGGGAGTCCTAACGCCTTAGGATGCAGGAGCTGAAACATAACTTAGGTCAAGATAGTATCGTTAGCTTAGCAGTTAGCTTAGCAGAACCCACGCCTTGTGGCCCTTAGTGAGGGCTGGGCCATTGTTTCTGGCTGCTCCGGGGGTTAATGACTAGAAGGGAAGGCTCAGGCTTACGGGGCAGGCTGGGAAGAGTGCTGGGGCGACATAGTCAACAGAAATCCTGCACTGAATCAGGACCCCTGGTGTCACCCAGATGAGCCGTTCCAGTGCCTTGGCCCTTCCTGCTTCTGTGTGTGTGTGTGTGTGTGTGTGTGTGTGTACCAACCCCACCTTCTAGAATACCCTCTGCCCCCATCTCCACACAGGCTTTGAAATTCCATCCATCCCAATGCAAATCCCAAGAGCTAAGCAAATGCCTGCCTCCCCTCCCCTTCACCAAGCTTTCCCTGACTCCAAGGACATCATTCTCTGAATTCGGCAGCCGGGGGAACCCCACTTGGATCACCCAGTTCCCCTCCACCCTTCTCCCCAAGAAGAACCCAAGAAGGTCGCCTCCTCTTTCCTCCTTCCGTCTACCTCTCTCCACCCCTCACCTCCTCACTTCCTCACCCCTGCCTGAACCATTCTCAGCTTGACCCTGCCTCCCCTTTCTTTGGTTTGTTTGTTTCTACTGTTTATGGCGTTGGTGTGTTTGCATTTAGCCTGAATTTTACATACATCATACACACACGTTTGCATGCGGCACTGCCCCTGGCCTGGGAGTCAGGTGCTGTGGCTACCCAGTCTTCCAGAGGAGGAGAGTGAGACACAGAGGAAAAGCTCCTTTCCTGCCATCACCCGGCACGTGGAAGACCTGGGACTCGAACCCTGTGGCTCTTGCTTTTCCCTGCTCTGTGACATTCTCATGCAGCCATCCATGCGGCGGGCCTCACCCGCTCTGGGGAGCAGAGAGACTTCCCCAGGCACAGAAACCATTGCACCTCAGAGTGGCCAGAGCTGTGCAAGGGGTGTGGGTGGCCAAGGTGCCTAGGGAGCCTCGAGGACAGAGTGGGAGCATGAAGGCCCCCTCCTGGGAGGGCGGGAAAGGCTCCTGAGGAGAGGCCTGGGAGTGGAAGGGTGGGGCCTGGTGGGACCTGGGCAGGGGTGTGGGGAGAAGAAATGCTGAGAGCTATGACTTGGGGAGTGGGGAGGAGTGTGTGGGGGAGGGGAGGAAGCAATGCTGAAGTGATCAGAGCGAGCCAGACCCTGAGGCACCTTGAATACTCCAGAGCTCAGGGCCAGTGCCATGGACCCTTGTGACCCTGTGCAGAGATGTGGCTTCCTGACTTTGGTGACTCCAGGACGAGTGAAAGAGCAGAGGTTCCACCTCCTCCACTGGTGGTCTGGAGAGTCAGGTCCCCCGGTGCAGGGAGAGTGGGGTCCTTGCGCTTCACACTCAAGGCCCTGAACGTGCGAGGGCAGGTAGGCATTCACGAAGCTGGGTGATGCGTAGACTGAGAGGTGAGGAATGAATGAAATCAACGCCAGGAGTACTCTGGAATCTGGTTTATTAGAGGCAGGTTGGAGAAGCAGCCAGCAGCTGGCAGTTCCGATGGGGTCAGGGGCTGGGTCTCCCCAGGCTGCTCTCTCCGTGATCCTCCATGGGGGGCAGGGTAGATTCAGATGCCAGGAGTGGGGCCATTCTGCAGGGGAGGGACAGAAGACAGCGAGCCCCTGCTGTCCTAGCATCCAGCACAGGCAGCGTAGGCACAGAGCTCGCATGTGCTCGGGTCCTCGGCGATGGC